ATATTTATATATATTGTTTTATATTATAATTACTTGCATGGCTTCTCGCTTTATACTTTCTGCCTTTTTCTACCCTCACTCTCTTGCCACTGAAGAACTGGTGTCCAAAAGCTCTGGTCCTATTTCTTGCTCTTTACTTTTTAGCTGTTGCTTATCAAATTTGTTATATACAATATGTATAAATATAAATCATCAAAGGTACATATACAGTGTTTAATAAGGATATCATTTATTTCATTGTTAACTGGACATCCTGGTCCACAATGGAATTGGCGACCAGGAAAAAGAGCCCCCAGTCCCAGAAAGCCACATCTGACTGTAGTAGTTTATATTATCAGTAGACCTATAATAATAATAATAATAATGTAGTTTTACATAGCGCACATATCCATCTAATGTAAGATGTTCAGGGCGCTTGATATGTGGACTAGGAACTCGATCAATGACTTTCTTCACCCCTAAGGATCCCTTCGTGTCTGCTACCCGGTAACCCGGTACCAGCAACTCTCGTCGTCCACCACAGGGGCTGTCTGTTCCAGTACACCAGGGTATCCCCCTGCTCGTCTTGAAAGATGTACTGGGTTCTTTATAGTGCACACGAGCCATTGTATACATTATATACGGTTTAGACCTTAACTTGTTCTACCACCAGAACCTTCTACCACCAGAACCATAGGCGAGCGTGCCGTTTGAACCATCGCCAATATTATGGCTATAGCTTGCGGCGCCCTTGCTAACCACTCGGCCATTCGACTCGCACATGCAATCAATCAATCAATCAATTTATAAAGTACAGGAATACAAGTTAAAAAAAAAAACTGTAGCAAACCTTCAAATTCCAATGATTTAATGAGTATCAAATTCAATAAACTGTATAACAAGAAATTGTCATCATTCATTTGTACAATATAACAATAATAACGATATAAATTAACATATTGTTGGTTGCTGGTACCGCATAAATGGCCAAATAAGCACCACAGCACTTATAACAATTTTGAAGGCTTTGGTACGAAGCTATTTAAGGAACACTTATTCAAGTAGTGAGCTTTACAACATTTTGAAGTGTTAAAAAAGTAGCATGTGTTCAGAGGCAGAAGCAAGGAGGCCTGGTCCTGGTCTTAATACAGTATATTTTTTTTGTATCATAAAAAAATTGGCAAACAAGAAAATACATTCAAATTGAATTTTTGAGGGTGCCACTTAAAATGTTGTATACCAGCCCGCCACCCCTACCCCCGCCTCAAACATCAAAAAAAAAAAAAATCATGCTCAAGTAATTAAAAGATTCCTAGATACACCATTGAAAGAGCTATTGGTGCTTATTCGATCATTTACGGCAAAATTAACCAGAAGGTTAACAATAAACATGGTATAAATATTTTGCTCATAATTATATTTAACATTATTGGAAAATAGCCTTTATAAGACTGTAAACATTATTGAGAAATAGCCTTTATAAAACTAAATGTTTGTTATGTCTTTTGACAAACATTAACAATTTTAAATGTACTGCATTTGTACGTGATCATTGTCTTAATACTCATCAATTATCAACAGCAAAGTTAACAGCATAATGATTAAAAATAATTGTTGAGAATCTAAATCACAAACACATATTTGTTGATATCCTCTCTCTAGATTTCATTTTTTGTCCTATTATAAAAGTAGTTGTAGAAATGTCCAGCTATGACTGTGCAATTGGTTGGAAATAGGCACTAATCTTCCTCATTTTCGGTGTGGTAACCTACATGAGAAAAAAAAACCCCGATAAAATTAAGTCTCAAAAATCAAATGTACCTGTTTGGCAGAAATCTAAATAAGTTTTTTATTATATAAATGTCTAAAATGCAATGATTTACTTTATAAGTCAATCAAAACACATCATATTATCTGCATATTTCCCTAAAAGGTAGTTCCATAAAATCGCTGTGTGCACCGCCGACAGCTGTTAGGGACGCTAATTGGTCGGTTGAATCAGTAAACCATCCCGATTACGTCGGGAACAGCTGCACAGTGTTACACTTGAAGTGAAAGCACAGTAACAACAGCGTTGTGATTTTATGAGAAGAAGCTAATCCCAATCATGCACTAATTTTCCATTAGCACACAGTTTGTTTTATTTTTTCTTGACAGAAAAATTAAATAGGAGTATTTGAGGCTTTAGTCGTAGTTGATGACTTAGGCAAAGCTTAGCATGTCATGGTAGCAGTTTATTTTTCATGAATTAGTACATTTGTGCACTACAGTAATCTCTATATAGTGTATAGAATTACTGTATACTAATTGCTTAGAAAACATAGATATTAATTATTACTTACCCTAGATGATACAGGAGATGACGGTCTACTGTTGGTAGGTGACAGACATGCATCACTGCTATCAGGTGACTGAACCTTACGTTTGTATCTACATGGACTGGTTAAGTCTGGTCTCTTCAATGTGTTCATCACTCTTGGAGAACCTTTAGATACAACTTTGGTACCGTGAACATCCGTTGAGTCTGACCCCAGCTTTTTAGTGAATTCTTCCAGCCAATTAGATTTCATTTTACGAGAGTCTCCGGACTTGGTGTTGTTCCAAACTTGATGGAGTTCCTTTTCACCTTTGAATTCTAAATCCACCACTCTGTTTGGGAGATTCGCAGTGGGAGACAAATACATTCTTACAATGTTCCTCATATCTAACTGTTTTATACGCTTTGGCGAGTCAAATTTATTTAAACTTACATCCTCATCTGATTTATTCATTTCACCCATTTTTAATTGACATTCTATAGTTTCAGGTGAGTTTTCCTTGTTTACTTTCAGAGTTTTGTTTGACAAACAATTTGGACGTGTTGGTGCTATTGAGTTTGACTTCTGAACATTATCACAATTTTCTCTTGTGTTTTCAGTAACAATATTTTCTGGTTTTAAATTACATGTGTCGTCTACAACTACTTTTTTCATGTCTTTTTTTTGCAATTTCAAAAATGTTATAAGCGAGACATCCCGGAATACTTTCGGTCGTTCTGGCTTAACAACTGAGAATAAATTAGCGGTTCCTTTTGGCAGATTAGCTGTGATGCCCTCTACTGGCGTGTTGCTTTCACCATTGTGGATTTCTCTGCACATGCCAAATGACTTAAATGATTTTGCTGCTACATCTTGAAGAGTAAAGAACAAAAAACATCATTTATCAAATAGCTTCTTTGAATTTAATAATTGAAAAAATATATGTAACAACAGTATCCAAATGAATTTAATATTAAAGAAACTGTGCAAATCATATTCTAGTTTAACAGAAATAAGCTTCATGGTAAATCAAAGATATTTATGGTATAGTGATATTCTACCAGACATGTTATTTTGAAGTGTCCGAATCCAACCAAGCATTGTGGGTGATTGATATGATGCTAGTCTATTAACTTAGGAGGTTATGGGTTTGAATCTAATCCTACCTATCAGCACAAGCACGGTTTGAGCCAAACACTCGCCACTGCAGTAAAAACTCAGTGTTCTAGTTGTAGGCCTAAAATACAAGACTAGAAACTCTACAGGTTCTGAGCAGTTTCCTCAAAATTAACCAACTATATCAAGGAAAAATGAATACACTTTTAAAGAAACTTATTGCACAGAATGAACCATGTAATTTAAGTAGATAGGTCAGTCAGCTAAACTGGTTATCCACTGAGTGTGCGCTGAACCATGGAAATCTCTTGGTCCCCAGTTCAATTCCCATCGCTGCCTTTTCTTGTGTTTCAGCTGGAGGGCTGAAATACAAGTTACAATAGCGCACCGTTTTTCGGATGAGACGTTTAAGCCGTTGACCTCGCATGCAAAATGGCCATGTGCATGTTAAAGAAGGCAGTACACTATTCGGAAAAGAGTAGGGGATTGTCTCCCAATGTACTGCCCAATTCACCACCTGAAGGACTCCACTGGAAGGAAATAATTCTCAGGACTCTCATGGGTTAACCTTGGTGTGTATTACACCGAAGAAACCCAATCCAATATATGCCAATGTAAAAATAATTGTTATGATTGTAACAAACAAACCTCTTATCTCCACTGGTACAATCTCTGCCCTTCCCACAATTCCATGTCCTGATTCTTGATTGGTCTGAATTGATGAGTCTGATCTCCAGACACGGAATGTATTATCGTCTGCGCAGGTCATTATCTTGTTAAAATCCTCCGGGCACCAAGAAACAGAAGTGACCTCTCCCTGATGACCGGTTAATTTGACCACTGGTGAATCGCACGACCCAACCTGACAGATATTAGTAACAATAATCAAATAAAAACAATAATAAAATTATTAATAAGAGAAAAAATTACAATAGTAAGTATAAAGCTACTGAACATTATATGGAGTGAATGGCAATATTGTTTATATTTAAATTTGTTATTGCAGCACAAAAACAAACATCAATTGATATCTTTATTAATAATAATAATAATAATAGTGTAGTTTTATATAGCGCACATATCCATCTAATGTAAGATGCTCAGGGCGCTTGATATATGGACTTGGATATTATTCTAAACATTAATTATAATATTACTGAATGACTGAGTAATCATAAGGTAGACTTTTGAGACCAACCTTCCAAATATAGGCATTATTATCGCTAGAACCACTCAATAGATAATTGCCATCTGCCGAAAGACACGATTTTACATAGAATGTGGAATTCTGATGACCTTTGTATTTTCCAATGGGATCCGACGATGACGACATAAGATTATATTCATATATAATGTCATCAGTACAACTAGCATACAACATACTACAAGCAGGGTCAAGGGTCAGACAGGAATAACCTACATACAAACAAAATATGATGGAAATGAAACATTCAACAAAACAGAAATTTAAAATCAGTAAAAATTTAAAATAAAACCAATTTAAATGATAAAAATACAAATTACAATATAAATTAAGCACATACATTCAATAAGATTAAAATATAAAAATATTTTGCTAATTACATAAACTCAAACATGCTTTACTTAAAGGACCTTGGGAGGGTTGGACTTACCATGGCGTCTTGAACTTTGTCCAGCATATGTAAACTGGCGCACTGGTTTTTTTGCAGTTCCAATGTAAGACTTTCGCAGATCCCATAACTTGATTGCACTGTAAATAATAATTGGTTTTTGTTTAAAACATAGGTGGGCAAAGTGCAGCCTGACAGCAATTTTTGTTTGAGGCCCGCAAAAATGAATTAAAAACCCTATATGTGCAGGCCACCAAGAAACATTGGCTAAAAAAACACCATGTTTTTTATGGCCTGACAATGATAATATGTAAAAAGTAACAATAAAACTGAGAATGAAGAGGTGTAAAAGCAGAACTTGGAGGTTTTTGGAAGCTCACTGGAAACATCAACGTTTTGGTGCGGCCTCGGTGTTAAATCAAAAATACACTTTGGCCCTCCGACCGATTTTTATGCCCACCCCTGGTTTATATGATATATAATGAATAATATAGCTATTAACATATAATTTATATAATATTGATCCATACCCATAACCGTATATGACCATAAGCAGAGTGCCGTGGTTATTATAAATTAATGGAGTGTTATAATCCTACACTGGGTTGGCCTACTTGACTTATACCTGCAGTATCAGTACAAGTAATACTATTATAAATTTCAGGAGAAATCTTATATGAAATATCAAGGCATGCTATGAGTTATCGTAAAGATGACCTACCCATCAGTGGCTCCAGAGGTCAGCAGGAAATTCTCCTCTTGAAAGATAACTGATGTGACGCTTTGTTGGGAATCACGTGAGGGCTTTGTTTGACTCAATCGTCTTCGCTTTATTTTCGGTGGTTTTAATACCGCAGGATCCGTATGTGCACAGTGAATAATCTTTACCGGAGCATAGCTACCATTTTCTGTGAAAGGAAATAATTAATCAAATTAATTAAGCTTTTAAGTAAGTATAATTTATTATTGATTTTTTGGAGTAAAACAAAAATAAAATGTTCCAAATGGAGCACTCCCTCACCTATGTAATTCATCATAGCAAATTGCATGCACACCCCCTCTGTTAATAAGGCCAAAAAAAAAACCCATTGGTGTTGCCTAAAGCTGCATTTACACGACATATCGCATCGTTTATATTCTTCAACACTTAGCGCATTTTTATCGTGCCTTTGGGCGTGTTTCGCCAAACGCCAAAAACACGTTTTTTTATAAACGGTTAAATTCCTTCTGAACACGTTTCTAGTGAAAAGTGCAACTAATAAAAACACGGTAAATGCGAGCATTGGCAGGTGGGCAGAGCTTAAATGACGGTCACCAATGGAAGTTGAAGCTGACCTAACTTCTTGTAAGCTACAGCGCATGCTGGGGAAGAAGTAAACAACACACCACGAAAGTATGAAAAAAGAATGGTATGATCTTCAAGCACGTCATAAATATTATTTTAATTCTTTTCTTCGCCCTGAATTTTCCGCAGACGAGCCATCAAACCAACGAAGAGGTCAATTTGGGTCACCGACGGGTCATGACTAACACGGTATTGCGTTGCAGCAGAAATGTTTACCAAAAAACACGCGTTTTCTGAACGCGAACCCTATAACAAATGTGTGTAAAAACACGCATTTTTAGAACGCATTCCTAACTGTGATTTTGTTTTGTGGCCTGTTTCTACTGGTGAAAAAACATGTGTTTTTTAATAATCGTTTAAATCACGTTTTTTTGCTCAGCAGAAACAGGCCCTTTGTCGTGTCATTATCATGTCCAGTGTAAATGTAGCTTAAGACGGACTGACACAAAATACCAAAAATCTAGACTCAGCTTCTACTTTATCCTAGAACTGGAAATAAATGGCGCAAGAATACAGAATACGTACCTCTTTGATTGCACCGCAAATCCCAAACCATCACATTGCCATCTCGTGCTCCTGTCGAAAGTATGTTACTGTTACACTTGCTCACTGCGACAGACTTGAGACTACAAGAATGCCCTCTCATTGTTGCTATGGAGACATGCTTTTCAATATCCCAGACTACAGCACTCTGATCACCTGATGCAGTGACAAGCTTAGCTGAATCATTCACCCATGCTAGATCAAATATTGCATTGTTGTGTGCTGTGAAAGCTACAGTGAAAAGTAAGTTAACAAAGACTCAGGTTGAAACTGAATATTTCATTTTAGATATTTTTTTTTTACAGACATATTATGCAACTACTCCATTTTGCCAGTATTTTATACAATGATTAAGATTCTATAATTAATTAGGACTCAGTAATGGATCCAGGAATTCAAAATAGAGGGGGCCCAGGGAGGTATTTTGACAGATGAAGGGTCTAGACCACCTAGGCTCTCAGGTGGAAATTTTATGATTATTGGACCTCTAGAAAAAGCACTCAAAGACTTTGAACATAATTTTCTTTTTCTTTCTTCCATCTTTTATATAATTTAGAAAAATTTATGGTTGGGAGAGGGGGAGGGGACTAGTATTGAATTGTACAGTCTTCTACAATTTTAGAAATGCATATAAATTAATGATTTTAATATAAATTCTGACAGGGGGAAAACAAGTTTGACTGGTGGACTAAACCACGCAGTGGGGACGCGCCACCCCTCCAAAAAAAAAGCTTGTGCTTCCCAGTGGCGCGCCCCCCGCCCCCTCACTGGAAATCTCAAAAGCAAAAAAATTACATTAAAAATCACCTCATATCACTTTGTTTTGCTTTATCATCAACCCCCTCCCCCTCC